CAGATGATCCAAAGTGCCGCCCGACATTCCACAAAGCTTTACCAGCTCTCCAGCTCTGTGGAACAAAAAACTTGCATATCCATAGTTTCCAAGCTCCATACAGCATGTTGCTTCGATCCGCAGTGCTCGTGCTTCATCAAGAAGATTTCCAGCAGATTTAGCCAGCCTTTGAGCCTCATTCGCGTACTGCTGGGCAGCGGGATAATCACCACTCCTGTACTTGATCTGAGCAATATTGAGGTTCACGATGGATGGCTGGTCATCTCCAACACCTGAATTTGACGATGCAAGTGCCTTTTCAAAGAATTGCATCCCTGTGGAGAGATCATATTTGGTATAGCAATAATAATTTCCAGCCGCGCTACAGAACCTGGCTATTATGAAATAAACCATGTTAGGAAGGGGAGTACAAAATAATTCTGAACTCACACTGAAGGACTGGCTCGTCCAAGTTTTCAAAATGGGAAACACCTGCGGCAATCATTTCTTCTGCATTGGCAACAGGACCATGAATCCGAGAGTTCAGTACTTCCGTGATGAATCGGGCCTCTAGTCTGTGGTCTGCGACCTGAGCAAGAAAAGGTGGAATCTGGTCCATCAATGTGAAATGACCATGCCCAGTGAACCTATAGAATGACTGCAAAGCGATTGTACACTTTATTGTCTCTGCCAGATCTGGGTTATCTGGATGGAATCCAAGCATTAGCAACTGTTGGAGGTTCTTGACATTTGAATTTATTTCAGTGACAACCCTTCCCAGCATGGCCCCCATGTATTTTTGATATAGCTCCAGAAGTGAATGGAAATACTGTTGAAGAGGTCGCACTAGAAGTGGAGACGGCGGGTCGAAATGCCGTATATGTTCTCGAATTGGCGTCAGCGACTTCAGGCGGTGCATATCGTCGATATAGGCCAACGAAGTGCGAAGCAATGCCACTTTGCACCGAAGAATATGATTTATGGGAAGATTGCTTTGGACCAATTCAGTGTCGGTAAGTCCATCCGGGAGTACTGAGAGGATACGCAAAAGATCATATGCGCCTGGCAACGACAGAATCCGGGGGCTTGAAAGTGAGAGTCTGATGGATGCATCCAGATTGGATTTTCTGTCGTAACTCTCTGAGAGCAATGAAGTTTTTTCGCTCTCCCAACGGGCCAACACAGTGGAACACCCTTCATAATCAACCAGATGAGCAATAATTTCCACAGCAAGTGGCATGTTATCTGTGAGATGAAGAAGTCGCTTTACACTTTGTTCGTCGTGAGTGTTATCTGCAACGTCAATGAAAGTCTGGCGAGCGGCTTCGTTTGACAGAGGCTTCAAGGGTTGCAAGAATGGCCGAGTCCATGCAACTTTGGCGGGTCTTTCGGCACCTCGCATCGTGATCTGTCGATTCATTAGGCCAGCCAATCATAAAATTGTGGTGTACTTACCAGTAATGCAAGATGGCGTAAATCGCTAAGAAGAGAGAGAAACTCTTCGACTTCACTACGTGATTTCAGTGGCTCCCATGGGGTCTCCAGATTATCCAGGATCAATAAAACTGATTCGGCGGAAGAAAGACTTTTGGCCACAGCTTGTCTGAGGTCCTTCCCTGGTTGCAGGCCTATATGCAACCCAATCTGGGCAGCCAGCTCAATGCTATTCTGTGCTGAATCACAGGTTACAAAGAGCCTCTTCTCATACTTCGTCGCAATCTCAGGATGATGCAGAGCAGCCCTTGCCAGGCTGGTTTTACCCATTCCACCACCTCCGATAATTGATATCCTGGCTGTATCTTGAGTGAGAATTTTTATGATATGTTCCAGTTCTGATTCGCGACCGTGGAAGATTTTCGGTCTTGGTGGCAGCAGGGCAAATGAATTCGAGCTGAAGAGCCATCTGAATGAAAGAGCTGTGGGATGACGTGCAGGGCATACCTGCTTTGGTGGCTATGGGCCGCCTGATAGATCTGACTTTCGAGTTACACGGTATTTCGAGATCAGAATACACGGTACATACCGAAGATGACCCGTCTGACCCTGTACTCTCTTCCAGGTTCGCAATTAATTCTTGCACCGCCCTATGCATGATTTCTGATTTCCTCTCCATCTCATGAATACTGTTGAAAATATTTGGACCGCTCTCGACCTGACTTTCACATTAGTGTGCGCTGCACAACCAAAGCCGGTTTATACCTTGAACGCTTCCAACGCTTCTTTCACTCCTGCACGACAATCCCCCAGTAGTTTATTCATCTCACTCTGTCGGAAGAGGTGTTTGATCTTGTATCGGTCTTGCTGCATTTCAACAAATGTGTGGATCTTGTGAAGTGTTCTGTAAATATTGATCAGCCCGGAGTCGAGAATTAAGATGGACTGAGAGGACTGGAACTTACTCGGTGAATTTTCCGATGTACATCAATGCTCCGGGTGGCAAGTTATCCCCGGCGTCCGAAGATATATGGAGATTGATAATAGCATAGACAAGCTGATGAATGCTTTCCAGGAGCTGGATACATTCTTCTTTGTGCCTCCTGATATTCTTTAAGTCAACATTAGATTGGCCGAAATCTCATTAGTAAAGCCAGCCATTACTCACCTGCCCCGCCGTAACGAGCGACAATACTGTGCCTGCAATTGCCGGCAAAAAAGGGGTGCCAAAGGACTGATTAAGTTCATTAAGGAGTGTCACGGCCGGCTTTAGACAGGCTGTAATGTTGCTCAGGTGGATTTCAGCAAGGCTCGCTTTGTGAGGCATCTTGGGAATGTCGAGAAAGAGTTCCGAGGCTCCAACTTCATATACACCTTGTAACCAATCCTGGCTTAATTACTAATAATTAGTTTATCCCTTGGGGCGTTCGGATTCCACGACCCTGGGTAACTTGAAGCCGTTCATGGTGAGATGAATATGGATCTGCTTCCGTGAAAGACTCCGATTAAATTCGTTGGGACTCTCTTGAGATCTCTTTCACAAGGGCTCTGTCAACAGCACCCATAGCGCAGGTGCCGTTCTAATCCAAGACGGTGGCACGGGACCGACGACAACGGCCCGGGCCCCGGGCCATCCGGAAAGCCCAATTTTGAACAGAGTCTGAATTGTCTAGAAAAGGTACTGCAAGGTTTATAGAGTATGCGGGGCCTATTTCAAGTTGAGCCTATTAATGGCATTGATCGCCTGCCAATCACCTGCTAAAAGTTTGTTGCGTGGGTTTTCACCTCAACATCTTCTAGGCTCCCATTGCAGTTCCTCAAAAAGGCCGTAAATATTCAAGGGAGCTAATGCAATTTAAGGCTTGCTTCAGTTCAAGCTCTAGGGAAATCGGAGATCAACAGCTGCCACAGTACTTCCATCAAAATAAGTTTGCAAAAGTGGCTTTCGACGATAGTAGGCTAGAAATGATAATTGAAAGGTTGAGCACAGAAAGAAAGGGAAAAGAAAAGCCCTCAGAATTAGCTCAGGCGTCCCCGGGAGTCAAACCCCGAACCCATTCGAACAGTAAAACGCCGGTCAGTGTATGTGTTACCATTACACCCAGGACACGACACCAGAGGTCCGAACTGATGGAAACAGATGTCTGTTGTAAATCTGCAGCTGTTCCCTTATTTACTTGGACACGGGTGGCTTTGGCAGATGTTAATGGTCGTTTCAGTGGCAGGAAACAGTCCTGCCAAAAGAAGTTTGAGTCGAAAGAAATATTTTTCAACACAAAAGCAGTTGTCCGGGTATGGCATGCGTCGTTGGGGACTCGAACCCCGGACCCAATCCAAATTATCTATGAGAAGTACGACTAGTATCTCTATGAGTGTTACCGCTACACCAAAGACATGGAGACCATATCAATGCAGTGAACAATCGATATCAGTATCAGGTGATGTGAAGAGGAGGGTCAGAATAAGATACGGATGCGAGAAATAATAATGGAAAGGCTGAGGGAATAAAAAAGAGAAGGGAAAAAAATCAAGAAATTGTCAGGCATCCTCGAGGAGTCGAACCCCGGACCAATCAAGTGCTCATAGACTGTGTGTTACCGTTACACCAAGGACGCTACGTCAGTCGTTTGAAATGATGGTTGGAATGATGGTTGTCTTTCTCTGCCTAATTTTGCATTGTCCCGAGAAACGCCGTGAAGGTCCGAATTGAATTGGTGCAAATTGTGCCCACACAGGTGAAGCAAGCAACTGGCTGGGGCGGAGGCAAGCCTGGGCAGAGAAATGAAAAATGAAAAATGAAAAAAAAAAAAAAAAACAATTCTGCAGCGAATCAGGCGCCCTCGGGGAGTCGAACCCTGGATCAATCCGACACTGTTATGGATCGTGTGTTACCGTTACACCAAGGACGCTACATCAGCGGTCCGAACTGATGGAAACAGATGTCTGCTGCTCAAATTCCGCATTTGAACTGTCCCCGAAAGAAGGAAGAAAAACGATGATAATCCAACAGATGCGCCGTCGGGAGTCAAACCCCGGACCCAATTCAAAATATATTCAAGCATCAAAAGGCGATTGTGTGTCCACACCACTTAAGGGTAAATATCCGTCCTTCAATCAACGGAGATCATCCCATCATGGTACTTCCGAACAATGGATATCAATACTGGTACGGATCGTCAAAAGGATTAGTGCAGATTAAAAGGTTCACTGAGGTCAGGTCGCAAACAGGAGAAAAGTAATAATAATTCAAGTGCAAGTACCAGCGCTCGAATGAAAGAAGACAGAGAGAGAAAAAAACATTTCCCTCAACCACAGGCGTCCTCGGGGAGTCGAACCCCGGACCATTCGATATAGTTAAAACCAAACGGTGAATGTGTGTTACCGTTACACCAAGGACGCGACATCTGAGCAGAATCCCAAAATGATAAAAGTAGATCTTCTTAAATTCCACATCTTGCATGCTATGCTCCTCGCCCGGCACTGGCACAATGAAGTTGGGCATGGCAAGCCTGAGTCTCGTCACAGCTTGAAGGAAACGAAAGAACGAGAGCAAAAAAAAAAAAAAAAAAGCGATGGGCTCGTGTATATGCGACCTCGGGGACTCGAACCCCGGACCCAATCTCTGAGGGATACAGAATTCTAAAGAGTAGATTGTGTGTTACCGTTACACCAAGGCCGCAGTAACCAAGCGTCAAAATGATAGATCAAGCCCGGGTCTTAGATTCCATAGTCCCGACACTTGTTCCTCTTCCTCTGAATTGGATTATGCTGGAGTTTCAAATATATTCATTGAGACTGCGTCATGGTTTGTGCCGTCTTGCGGGGGAAGGGGGGTCAAAACTTGGAGGAAACGAAAGAACGAGGAAGCAAGAAAAGGATTCTAAAATTCGGCATACGCCCTCGGGGAGTCGAACCCCGGACCCAATCTAAGGGAACAAATAATGTGACAGAAGTAGATTGTATGTTACCACTACACCAAGGACGCGACATCAAAGCCTCAAAATGATAGAGATCCTGGTTTGTTTCCAAATCAATATCAGTATCAATCAAGAGTTGTTAGTGCAGATAAAAAAAGAGAGCTTGACTGGCCATGGGAGGAATAAGAGGAGGAAGAACAAAAACTCGCCATTCAGAATTGATCAAACCATACATACCAAGTCCGCTCGAAAAAAAGGAACCAAAAAGAAGAACAAAAAGCCAGCATAAATGGGTAGGTGACCTCGGGGAGTCGAACCCCGGACCATTCGATGTAGTTACAAAACCAAGAGGTGAATGTGTGTTACCGCTACACCAAGGACGCAACATAAATATCTGAAATGATAGACACCACCTTGTGTTTCTGAGGATCAATATCAGTATCAGTATCAACCAAGGGTTATTAGTGCAGATTTTTTTTAAAAAAAGCTTGACTGGCCATGGGAGGAATAAGAGGAGGAAAAACAAAAACTCGCCATTCAGAATAATCAAAACCTACATACCAAGTCTGCTCGAAAGAAACAAATTGAAAGAAAAAAAGAAAAGAAAGAAGAACAAAAAACCACCGTACTTGGGGAGGCGACCTCGGGGAGTCGAACCCCGGACCATTCGATATAGTTAAAAACCAAGAGGTGAATGTGTGTTACCGTTACACCAAGGACGCGATATCACTATCCTGAAATGATAGGTCAAACTGATGTTAATGTCATTGGGGTTATTCAGGAGGGAGGAACTCGAACTCGAATAAAGTGAGAGGTCAACGCAGGAAAAAAAAAGGTATTTCACTGGTAACGGTTTAGCGTGGTGCTTCGGAAACCAGAGCCCAAAAGAAGAAGCAAAAATTGACAAGTATTCGGAAATGCGCCCTCGGGGAGTCGAACCCGGACCCGATCTCATATATTCGTCACACAGAGAAGTAGATTGTGTGTTACCGCTACACCAAGGACGCGATACTATTCCGCTATCCTCATGTCGTGCTGTCGTTTTAGTGATCTACATACCCACTCGTTTCTGAGAATGAGCTGCTTCCCAATACATATTAACTAGGATGCCAGCTGTTTAAGATAAAGAGGCGTGCAATGCAATGCCAGCTCGTGCAAAGAAGCCCGAGTCGGTCAGAGTCAAAGAGAAAAGAAACAAAAAAACAAAGCACGAGAGCGAGAAAAAAAGCCAGAATGTGACCCCAATGCGCCCTCGGGGAGTCGAACCCCGGACCCAATCTCACATATTTATCACGCAAAGAAGTAGATTGTGTGTTACCGCTACACCAAGGACGCGATACCGTTCTGTTATCATGCCATCTTGTCATCTTGGTTAGAGTTGCTTGTATCCGAGTTGCTTGTTCACTACTATATTAAGTAGGACGCCGACATCACATAACATAGGACGCCGACATAACACATAACATAAAGGCTCAGATCAACGTAATCCCGCTGCAGCTGCGCTGCGCTCGCCGCTCGACAAAATATATTCGCACAGGGCGCGAAGACGCCGTCGGTAACCATACATACAGTACTAGTACTACAACTTAGAACCTATCGTATCGTATCGATCTGAGCGCATAGATGTCGGGACATCCCGCATCTCACGTTGATATCCCGCGTCGATATCCCACCCACATCGGACCCCGACAAACGCGGCAAGGCGGGCGCGTGGCGATAGAGTTTGCGCGCGAGGCGGGGAGTTTTGATGCATATCATATCATTGAATTCATTGAATTGGCGGTTGGCGCCGCACGCCACGCCTGGCTGCGCCGGGGGAGTTCGCCGCGCGTGCGCCGTTTGGTACAGTGTATACGTATACGTAAACAGGGCCGACAAGTGCCGACGCCCCTTGTCGTAGCGAGCCGGTTCGTACATAACGCGCTGTGGCTGACGGCGCGGGCGACGATTGGTCACCGCTCGACGAACGAATGATTGAATCGGCGCAAACGGTAACGTGGCACCGCAAGCGTGACCAAGCAGGGGAGAAGAACCGTGGGGCGTGGGCATGGGCACCGTGATTCGTGACGGGGGCGCAACGGCGAACCATCAGCCGCGAAGGCGGGGCTGGATGGTGCATCAGAAGGCGTTGTCGGAGGAAGACGGACGGAGGCGATTGAATCAGATTGGGAATTAAAGGAGGGGAGGGACCCCGGGGAGCGCGGCGCTTCTGCGCCTGATGGCGATGGAACGTGTCATCGGTGCACCAATTTTGAATGACGCAGAAGAGGGAAGAGAGCGCTCGGGTGGGAGGTAGGAGGTAGGCAACGGTTGGAAGAGGCTGGCCAAGTCGTCGTGGCGGTGCCTGTGCGAGACGGCAATCAAACGGCAATCCAAATTGGTCATCACTAATGACTGTCTTCCTCACTCTCTTGCTGTCCTTGCTGCCGCTGTGAGGTTTATTCTCTAGGCCTCAGGCCTCGTGCGCAACCGCCGCCCCATCGTCGTGAAGTCGATGCTTCTACTCTCCTCTGCTCGGATGGGGCTCAGCGTCGCAGCGACTCGGAGAAGAATTGCGCGTCGCAACTAAACTCTAAAACCCAACACCGGTTGGCGTTCTCTTGGCCAAAAACAAGGACGCTCATGGATATTGCATTAGTGCTGGCGGACGAGCGGACGAAGGCGGCGTCACACGGTGCTGGAAAGCTTCAATAAGCACTTCACCACCCATCGAACGCGTCATTGAAAAACATAAAGCCCTTTCCGCTCGTGCACAGCGTGGACGCCGTGCCGCTGCTCCCAACGCTCCTGTACCTGCGAATGACCCCCTCAGCTGTCTACATCTCTGTCACCACGTATTCGTGCCATGCTGGATTCCAACCGCAGCTCAAAAGGACTCTGACGAGGCTACTCAACCTTTCGCTTCCTGTATATTCATATCCGATTCTTCGCACGGCATTACAAGGAGCTGTATAAGCTGGTCAAAGTCGATAATCATCGCTCGGCCACTGTCATCGTCCTTAACTCGTATGGTCCAGCACTATTAGTAATAATGCTTTGATCATTCCATCCCCTTGCCCACCTCGTTTTACCACGGTCCATCCGTCCACAACTGGGAAAGCCGGTTTCATGTTGATCGTCTGCGTGTCATCGTTGATGATGTCTTCCCGAAGGATGCGACGAAGATTTGCCAACAACAACGATCCTCCCGATGACTTGTACTGCTCCGCAACGATATCGTTCCATTGCACCGGATTGTCTTTCGTCTTTTCTGAGTTTGCTTTATCTGAACCAGGCTTGCCAGGGACGTAACAGAATTTGGTCATTGAGATCCTGGTCGGCGACGATGATGCCGTTCGGGCCATCGAAGTAATTCTTGTCAACGGTTTCTTTACCTTCTCGTCCAATGCTCGAGTGTTTCTGAAATGGAGTTCAGAAGATTCTCGATTTCTTCGCCGTCCCCAGAGGATGTAAGGATGCTCGACGTTTCAGCGAATGATTCGTATAGTTCGTTGTACCTCTCCCCCAGGCCACCTGGAGAAGTTTTCAAGTCGCAAAGGTTTAATCATTATTTTCCTTCCGGCAAACATGCAATCTTACATTCGATGTCTTGAAGAATTCTCGACCCTTTATTCAAACATCTAACGTACGGGTCGACCTGTGAAATTTTGAGTTGCGCCACATGATAAGGTGCTGTACCTTACAAATGAGCTCAACTTACTCCTCGAATGTCGGTTGGCAGGGCCGCCACATAAATGGCAGAGATGGGTAAGATAGCGCGGAAGTGCATTTCAATGGTAAGAAATGGAATATACGATCAGCGTATATGCTAACCAACCTGGGTTATGGACTCGGCGAAAGTCGCCTCCTTTATATATTCGCAAGAATCACGGTGTTCATGGGGATGTATGAAGTCATACATGATCCTAGAGTAGTTACCCGTCACCGTTTGACGAGCGGCCAAAATTTGCTCGAAACGGTTTCCAACCCAGGTGGAGACGCATGACGCCTAAAATTTCAGAGACTTTGCGCATTAGACTGGATGTATAGCTGGAATATATACCTTTCTACGTGCTGCGCCTTAAAATTAAAAACTTAAATTGATAAAAAGGGCCTGATCGGGTGCCTAGAAATTCTACAGAACATTTCCCAGTAGATCTACTTTCCTCACACAATTCGTCCCTAAACCATCCTAATATATGTATTTTCGTAAATAGTGATGAGCCGAGATGGGAGGGAAGACATTGGCTCAAAATATTCAACACTTTCTAGAGTTGAACTTAGAATTTCTGGAACCGTCTCAGAATCCGGTTGGAAATTTTCGCTTGAATAGCTATATCAGAGGTTCTAGGAGGTTTGGGAATCCGGACGAAACTCATATATATATGCCTACAAGATTCCAGAAAATATCTAAGAGTACCTGATCAGGCTCTAATAAACAAAGTAGCCCGCTGTGGGGCATATGTGAGTCTTACGGCAGGATAAGTCAAGTCCCCAAATGTTGCGGTCGTGTTTCGGCATACAGGAAGCGATTTAATAGGAGGATCGCCAGCGGGCACGCTTCTGTGAGTGGCGCTCGGTTACTTTGAGTGATCAGCGAGAAGCAAAGCTCATCAACAGTGTTATGTGACAAAAATATAATTCCGAATATTATAGCAAAACAACTCATTTCCCCATAGCAGCATACTTCGGTGGCGGCTCCTCCCCCTCCCCAAGCAGCCTTGACCCCCGCACCGACATCACGCTATACGGGTCCGTGCCACCTGCGAACGAACTTTCGCTCGGGCTCGTCGGGATGAGCGTCCCGCTGACGGGCGGCCGCCTCGGCAGCGGTCGGCGCTTCTCCGGGGGATATGATACCGGCGCGAGGCGAGGATTGTTCGGATGGGCAACGGAGCGGTCGCTCGGATGCGCGAAAGAAGGATCGCCCAGAGCGTGCGTTCCGTCGGAGGTGCCGGCGGTAGCAGATACGAACGCAGGATTGACGAACGGCTGCATCGATGAGACAGATGGCGGCGGTGCCGGTGGGCGTTGGCGCCAAGAGAGCGGTCGCCCTTGCGCGTGGCGGCGGCGCATGATAATGTAGGTGATAATGACAAGAGCGAGGAAGAAGAGGCCTGCGACAACGATACCCGCAATTGTTGAGGAAGGCATTGATGTGGACCCGGATGCGGATCCGGATGCAGAAGGCGTGGTGGAGGTGGTAGTGGTATTTACGGTAGGGGCGCTTAAGTAGGTAGCGCTCAGCAGGGCGGCAAGCGCGTTAGTTTGGTTGTCCAATGCGAACGAGGAACTCGGCGGACCAATCCATTGGTTCGCATAAACATTGTCGCCGTTCGTTGCGAAGTCCATGACTGCGTTAAACTACCGTCTCTGGAGTCAGCAGCGAGAACACAAAGTAGGGCAAACGAAGAACACCTGAACACCGAGATAGTCATGCAAGTTTGCATGGATGTCTGGGGAGGTAACGTTGCGCACATACGCAGCCGCAAGCGCGCGAACAAGGATAGAATCCCCGTTTTTTACCAGCTACGGAGAAACTCAACTCTGAGTAACGGCAAACCACATAGTGCACTGACCTCCATTGGCTATGATCCCACCAGATGTCTGCCAATCCGGATGAGCCAGCACAGCCGTGATGAGATTGTCCAGCCTATTATCTTGAGTTTCCTGTCTCCAAAATAAATACTCTCGGAAACTCACGTATTCTGTGTCGTCGCATCCTGCGTGATCGACACGAGCA